TTGCTATCACTGAGTACCTACAACTTGTTAAGTACTGTTTCTGCAAAGTCAAACAAGGCAAAAGATTTTCTCTGATATTGATACAATTTACTTGCAAAAAAAATTGGACGTTAAAAAATGTTTTATCAGTTTTGTGACAACTGTAAAATCCCATCATTATTCACCTACCATTTGAAAGAAGCTGAGATGGAAATCATGTATGTTTGCCCATTTTTAAGAGTATTACAGAAATCATAAAAAAATTTAAGAATCCATATGGTTTAGGGGGAAAATGTCTCAAAATTAGAGATGTTTGTATGGATTTTGAACCATGTTTCAAGGTTTATATAACTTAATGGTCTGTGTTCATCCTACAAGCATCAAACTTGGTCAAATGACTACTCTCGATGTGATCTTTCATGTGGTGGTGTCAGTCTATCGATTGGTTAAAATTTGAACCTTGCCTCATTTTGGAATGGCCTATAAAGGTTCCACCCAGGGCTGGGTTACATTGTCTTCCTCTAAGATGCCATGTGCAGTTGGACGAGTGCACTCACTTGGAAATTTTTTCTGCTAGAATAAATTATTAGATTTTAAATATAAGATAATAATTGGTTTTCTTTTTTTTTTCAGGTTTGATATCAGCAGGTCTTTATGCTGCATTGCGAGAAGCTATATGACACACAAGATAGCACATGTATGAATTTCTCTGTACTAGTGTTGTACTAGTTACAAGTAGATAATTTGATGGTTACAGTGATTTTCTTTCTTTGGTCGGTAACTATGGCTAGAAACATTGATATTGCAACTTACAAGAATTTAGAAATCACTCTTTGGAATTAAAGACAAGAGGTTCGGCATCTACAGAACCTCAAGACAAGAGAGTTTCGATCTACTAAGTGTGTTTTGAATGTGATTTAAAAATTGGTCTAGTTTGTAACGAGCAATAGGAAAGGCTAGCATTATCCAGGTGTTGTACAGTTTGACCCCACTAATTCAAACCCTGCTAATTCGGTTATTTTGAATTCCCCATTGTTTCAAACTCAAAACCATTTCCTTGGGTTTGCCCTTCAGTCATTTAACATCATTTATGTCAAACTCCTGCTATTTCAAACTATTTTTCATTTCCTCTGAGAGTTCAAAATAGTGGGGTTCAACTGTACAATTTTAGAGGAAGATTGTGTCGTAAAAAAGTGACAAATTATGTTTAAATTATTTTGAATCAACAGAATGTCGGAGAGTCTTTCTTAACATGTTTTGCATTTTCGTGTTACAAGTACTACTGGTAACTTAACTTTTCATACCCTCTCGGCCAGTCTCACTGAGATTTTTACAAATGTTTTGTAGTCTAGCGACATAATTTTGTTTCTTCCATCGCATTTGTGAAGCTCTAACCAGGCATATTCTTCTAGTAGTTGTCGTTTTGAAGAGTAAGATGATCGGTGAAAGAGAGCTGTTTGCGCCATCTTTCCTTCATGAGCCCACGAACATACCTTGGTGGGTGGGGCAGGGGGTTGTGGGAGGAATGGGAGATTGAGTGATTACTTGAAAGAATTCCTGCCCAAAAGGCTTTTGTAGCTCAACCATTTTTGGTCAAAAACCTGGTTGCTAGGCGGTGTTACATAACTGAAGGTAATGTTGACGTCACTAAAATAAAAAAAATAGTTTAGTACTTCAACAATGACTACTTTATATACACTTAACGTTTGTTCGAGCGGTGTAAAAATATTGGAATATTTTCGGAAATATATTTATTGAGAATTTAAAGGATGCATTGTCTTTTTACTAAATTATAATTAAGTCTGTGATCAAGAATTATTTTAATATATTTCTGGTTGAAAAATGTAATATATATTTCATCAATTGAAAGGCTTATGATTGTATTTTTCCCATAAATCATCAGTTCCGAAACAACGAAACATACAAGTTTAGTTTGTTGTATCCAAGGTCACGTGGCTGATTTCACAACATGTGCTCGTTTTATCTGGGCTGCACTCTGTAACTAAGTAGTAAACAGCGATCGGAACGCGTTCTCTGTATGACCTGAGACCGTAGGGAGTTTAAGCAACGACGACGGGGACGCCGAGGACGACGCCTAGTCAAAATTGAATTTATATTTTACCAGTAAATTTCGCAATTGTCTAGATCTATTCAGTACGCCAGTGGCTCTAAAAACGCGCTCGGGCTAAATATGCAAAGACAATGTTCAATTCCAAATGGAAAGACAGAAAATTAACCGTGGTCGTTCGCGTTCCACAGACCACGCAGAACTTGATCATTTCACATTCTCGTGTTTTGTAGAGGGCGGCAAAGAAATGTACAAAGATTTATAACGCACGTGCACAGCTATTCTGCTCATTAAACCTTTTTTCTGGTGACGTTCTCGTTACCGTCGTCGTCGTGGTTTGCTTAAGCTCTCTGGTTTATATCTAGAGACGTACGTTTGTCTTAACACACGGGATTTGGTCGTAATACTATTAATCTTCGTGTACACTGAGGGTAACATGCCAAAGGTATGAAATGTGTTGACGCAACAAGCAAGAAATATCACGTGTAGAATTTAAGTCAAACAAAGCTAACATCATCAATGTGTTTAAGATCAGCGTTTTTCACGTTCACACGTCTTCATTTCAAAATTGTACAAGAGTTTGACGCATGAGTCATTATCACCAAAGTGTACAATACACAGTTTAAAGTGCTATTAGTAATGTAATTCATATTTTGTAATTAAAAATGCTTCTTTTATCACTTGATGTCACTCCAATACAAGTGAATTTTTGTCTTGAGGTCATTAGTTCTTTCCTTTCATTTTAAATCAACACCAAATCTTCAAAATTTCCTATTTCCATAAATTTTACAAAACCTTTGAGAACAACTATTTATCTCTAAATATAAAAAATCACCAAAAAATTTACGAAACAGTCCA